CTCTTAAATGCAGAGAACAAACTGGTGGTTGTCAGAGGGGAGATGGGTGAGGAAAGGGGTAAAATAGATAAAGGCGATTAAGAGATATAATGTATAGAAATGTTGAATCATTATATTGTACACCTGAAACTCATAGAACACTTTATATTAATTATACCTCAATAAAAAATAATAATCAAAAAAAACAAAATACAGTCCTCCAGCCAGTTGAAAAAAGACTGGGGGCTAGCTAAAATAAGAATGGCAAAATGATAATTGTTGAAGCTGGGTGATGGCACATGGTACATGGTTTGAACATTTTCATAAGAAAGAGGTGTGTTGTTGTTGTTGTTGTTGTTGTTATTGTTGTTTAAATCTGAAGTAGGGGTATGAACCCTGGCTTCCATTCTGGTTTGCCCTTAATTATCTATGTGATCCTGGCCAAGTCACTTCATTACAGTACCTCAACTCTCTCATAACACAGAAATAATAACTGATTAAAATTTATCATGTCTGCCACATACTAGAATTATTCTGAGTAGTACAAATGAACAAAAAAAACCTGTATCTATCCTACCTATTCTTCTACCTATTCTCAAGGCATCAGGGTGGGGGACGAGGAGAAGGAGGAGAGGAAACAGGGCTTTGGAAATGTAGAATATTCTAAAGAAGAAAATTGTCACCTCTAATTCCACCATGCAGAAATAACAAATTAAGGCCTTAGTGTATATTTGACACCTTCTAGACATTTTTGTCTGAAAACGGATCCATGTCTTTAAAAAAAAAAAGACATTTGAACAATACTACATGTCTTCTTTCATGGCCTGTTTTTGTTTTGTTCAGTTTGTTTGTCTTTGTGTGTGTGTGTACCATTATATCCTTTGGGTAATCATACTAAAGTACATCAAAACATTGTAGATATAAAACATGACCTAGTTTAGTGCCATTTTCTTCCCACAGCTGTTTCATTAACCACAATCAGCCTTTTAATGAATATGTACCACATGTGCCAAAGAAATGGTCATCTCTGGTTTGAACTCTTGCAGCTGGTTTCCTGGCTTCTAGTTTTACCCTACTCTAATCCATCCTTCACACAAACACCGAACTGATCTTCCTGAAATACCTCTATGTCACTACAATGCTCAAAAACCTTCTAGAGGTTGTGTTCCCTATGATTCCATTTATATGACAGCCTCAAAAAGACAAAACTATAGGGACAGAGAACAGATTAGTGGTTGCCAGGGGTTGGGGGTGTTGGGAGGGTGTGACTGCTGTTCGGTGAACATATATGTTCATGTGAACCTTGATACCTGTGTGTCTTTGCTTGTAATGTTCCCTCTGCTAAAATACATCCCCATCCACCACCAATGGCAGCCCTACTTGTCCTTCAAGGCTTAGTTCAAATCTCCCATCCTCTGCAGACCTATCCTCAGCTCCTCGGTCAGAACTAGAATCTCTCTTTCCTCAGTGTTCCCACAGCGCTTTGCTTAGATCTCATAGCCTGACACCACCAGGTATTACAGGGAAAGTGCAAGCAGAAGCAGACTCCAATGAGTAGGCAATAAAACCCCAAACCTCACGCAGAAGTATTCACTTAGCGTCAAGCATATGCATTCCTTCTTTCCTTTCCTTGGTGCCCAATGATTCACTGGCGTCCAGGCCAGGCTACAACTGTAGATTTTAGATGTGCCCTGTTATTTACTTCCTCATCCTTCAAATCCCATCTTCAACTTCATTCTCAAATACTCTTTTCTTCTCTGGCACTGAATTCCTGGCTTGGCCCCGAGCACATGATTCTTCCATGCCACTCCCAGGGATAGCCTAGTTTTCTGACCTATGCCTGTTCAATCCTACTCTCCTGGCTGGAAGACAAGGGACCTTGCCTAACAGGTGTGGGTACCTAGGGCTGAGGCTGGTGAGAGGAATGTCTCATTGGCAAGCAAGCCAATCCAATGGGGAAGAGCAAATTGGAGAGCCAGGTGAGGCAGGCAGAGGTTGAGTAAACCAGAAAATCAGAGCCAAACAAATTATGTCAAGAAAGCCAGGAGGGACTAGAGCCTAAAGCCAAGAATATGAGCACATATGGATGGCTGGGAACTATATTAGAGCAGGCTAAGCCATAGGCTAGTTGGGTAAATATTAGAGATAGGGGACCTTTGCCTGTTCCCTACTGTTATATGTGAATGCACCTGCCCCACTTAAAGAGCAATAAAAGGAGTATAAATACCCACCTTCTTCAGTCCTACCCAGTCCAGACCATGCGACCCAACATCTATGGGAGGCAGTGTGGTAGACCGGAAAGAATATAAGCTTTGGAATCAGAAAGACCAGAGATTAAATTCTGGCTCTTTCCCCTTATTAGTTGTGTGACCTTGGGTAGTCATTTGGCTTCAGTTTCTTCATCTGAAAAATGGAGATAGCATCTACCTCAGAGGATCATGATGATGATGAAATGAAATTATGTAAATGAACCAATATAGACATTTGTATCTAATAAGCGTTCAAGAAGCCCATGTCTTTCAAGGGCACCTATCATAATTTGCCTCATATTTCTAGTTAGTTGTATACAATACATGTCTCTCTTTCCAATCAGATCTTAAATTTGAAGGCAGACACTGTGTATGAATCATTTTTTACATGTATTTGCTTTTTAAATATATTTTCTGATTGCAAATACCATGTAAACTCATACAAAATTTAAGTATTGCAAACTATCTAACACTGAAGAAATCCCCCTCAAACCACGCCCCCCAACCAGAGTGCTCCTGTAAAGAATTTGGAGCATTTTTCTCTGGCTCCCCCAACTACCATATTGTTTGTTTTGCTTTTACAAAAATAGGATCCTGTTAAAATATGATTCTCAGAATGTGTTTTTTTTTTAAGTTTCATCCAAATAGAGAGTGAGCATGTGTCAAACTTTAATTTTAACTCACAAAGGAGGAAACCAGCAAGATGGTAAAGTTAACTCTAAAGAGGATATGAGGACTGGTATTTTTTTAAAGATTTTATTTATTTATTTGACAGAGAGAAAGGGAGAGATCACAAGTAGGCAGAGAGACAGGCAGAGAGAGAGGGGAGGAAGCAGGCTCCCTGCTGAGCAGAGAGCCTGATGTGGGGCTCGATCCCAGGACCCTGAGATCATGACCTGAGCCGAAGGCAGAGGCTTAACCCACTAAGCCACCCAGGTGCCCGAGGACTGGTATTTTATAGTCAGTTTAAAAACAAAGAAATGTTAAAATAATACTAAAATCATATGGCTAAGTTAGAATTAAAGCTGGTTAATGTCCTACAAGGCACTAAGGACCAACATCATGCTTTAGGTGGATAGAAAATCTTGTTGCATTTTGTCAGTTTTAGAGATTTGTAAAATGACTGAACCCTAATCACTTGTGCCAAATTATCATTCTCTAGATGTAGAGAGGCAGATGACCCTCAGGCCTGTTAGAAAATGCTCTTAAGGTGACATTAAAGCATCAAGTAATCATCTTTTCCCTTAGTATTAGTTTCTTAGTGCTGTTATAATAAATCATCACAAACTGTTGTGGCTTAAAAAACACATATTTATTTTCTCACAGCTCTGGAGGTCAGAAGTCCAAAATCAGTTCCACTGGTCTGAAATCAAGGTGTTGGCAGGGACCTGCTCCTTCTGGACACTCTCCAGGAGAATCTGTTTCCTTGTGTTTTACAGCTTCTAGAGATGCATTTGTCTGTGGCCCCTTCCTCCATCTTTTAAAGCCAACAGTGTAACATCTTTAATATCCCTGTCTCCACCTTCACATCAACTTCTCTCTCATGAGGACCTTTATGATTACATACAGCACACCCACATAATTCAGGGTAATCTCTCCATCTCAAGGTCAGCTGATTAACAACCTCAATTCCCCACTTAATTCCCCCTTACCATGGAACATAACACTTTCACAAATTCTGAGGATTAGACGTGGAGATCTAGAGGGTGACACTATTCTTCCTATGACACTCTTGTTCCCAGGTTTTCAATAATTCTTCATAATCTCATCCTATACATTTTGTTTTTCAACTTGCTTTTTTTTAACCAGTCTTTTCACTTAGCACATACTGTATACATCTACCCTATTTTTTTTAGTAGACACACAATGTTACATTAGTTCCAGGTGTACAATATTATGCTTTGTTCACAAGTGTAGAATCCATCTGTCATCATACATCACTATTACAATATTATTGGCTTATTCCCTATGCTGTACCTCTTATTCCATGACCTTCATTCTGTAACTGGAAGTCTGTATCTCCTTTTCCCCTTTGGCCCCTTTTCATCCTTTGGCCCAATCCCCCACTTCCTTCCCTTCTGACAACCATTAGTTTTTTTTCATCATTTATAGGTCTGATTTTGCGTTTTGCTTATGCATTTTTTAGATTCCACTTATGAGTGGAATCATATGGTATTTTTCTTAGTCTGATTTATTTCACTTAGCATAATACTCTCAGAGGCCCATGTTGTCGCAAATGGCACGATCTCATCCCTTTTTATAGCCACATAATATTCCATTACACACACACACACACCCCTTCCTTATCCATTCATCCATTGATGGATACCTAGGTTGCTTCCATATTTTGGCTATTGTAAATAATGTTATAATAAACATAGGGGTATATATATCTTTTTAATGGATGGACAGTATTCCAATGTTAGAAATACCAGAATTTAATCATTTCCTTATAGGTGGAAATTTAAGTTGTTACCAACTTTTCACTGTTACAAACTGTGCTATAATAAACATTCCTGTGCACATCTTTTGCATAAGTGTATCTATGTTGCCATAGGAAAAATTCCTAGAGGTTAAAATTCTGAGACAAAAAGTATGTCCATTTAATTTTGACAAATACTGACAATGCCTTCCAAAAACTTGCGCCAATATTTTGCTCTCATACCAGTGATGACAACCAGTGGCTATTTATCTCCAGTATCACTGAAACTCAATATTTGGGATTTTCTTTTGAGTCTTTCAGCATCTATAAAGCACTCTGAAATATCCATGTAGGTTTCCCTGGCACAGAATGAGTTTAATAATTGTTTAATAAATTAAAGGTTAGAACATTGCAAATTCATATGTACAGCTCAGAGGGCTTGTCCCAACAATGATACAATGTTAACAGAGCTAGTATGTATCAATGCTCTTCGTATATAGTACAGTGCTATTCAGATGTTATTTTCTCTATACATGAAAGTATATCGTTTTCACACTTAGTTCCCATAGCTCACACAGGTTGGCCTTGCTACTTCCCGGTTTCACATGGTGTGTGCTTTGTTGCCAAGGCTCATATCATACTTTCACTTTGCACCCCAGAGGCTCTAAGACCTAAAGTGTATGACTAATGGTGTTGGTCCTTCAAGAGGAAAGGGTAAGATTCTGCACATGTGTGTCCCCTGAAGATAGTAATGAAGCCCAATAGCAAAAGTTTCATAGAATGAGGATCCCCACTCTTGGGTAGATAAATATTTCGGAGGGTCCAGAGTCCTTTGCTTTATACTAAAGGATTTTTCAGAAATGGAACTCCACAGGGGTTTGGGTTTTGTTTGTTTAACATTTTCTTTTTAAGGAATCTCTACACCCAACAAGGGGCTCGAATTCACATCCCCAAGATCAAGAACTGCAGGCTCCACGGACTGAGCCAGCCAGGTACCCTGGAACTCCCCAGGTTTAGATGGAATGTCCCGGTGAATGTTCTACCCTTCAGCTGCTCACACCACCCTTACCCTGGAAGTAGCAATCAACTCTGAATGCTGAGGACCATCACCTAGAGAGGTGCAGGCAGGAACAGGCTCGCTGAAAGGGCACTGAATGTTGACTTAGGCTCTCAGGACTGTGACAGTACGGGGAAAGTCATTATTCTTCCACATCCTTATCCTGTGGCCTGCTTTAGAATCAGGAGTCAGCTTCTCAAGAGGAGTAAGGGCAGTGTTGCTAAGAGGAAGTATAAGAGAGTCAGCTTCAGCACTCCCCTGCTGTGATTGATTGTTTGGGGGGTTGGGCGGGGGGAAAGATTCATACAAACCTGGGTAGTAATTGCTCCCTCCAGTTTTATTCCCATGAATAGGATCTGGAAGCTGTGTGTTCAAGAACACACAGGAGACAAAATCCTGAAACTAGAAAGGAAATGTGTCTATCTACCTCTCTCCCCGCCCCTTATCCCCCCATCATTACATGTAAACATTAAATATAAGTACATGTGAACATTAAGTAACATCAACCTATAAGTACAGGTGAACACATACTCCATTTTCATCCCAGGCCTTTTAGGACTTGACCTTTTTCTCTCGAGTAAATCCAGTGATGCCCCTTGATTACAGCCCAGAAAAGATCCCTGGAATCACTAACATATTAAACTAACTCCACAAAGGACCTAAGAGGATTTAGAGGCTTGTGTCATGATGAAGAGTGTGAGCTCTGGAGCCTGAGTGCCCAAGACTGAATCATGGCTCTGATAACTAGCTGTGACTTTGGGCAGGTCACATCACTGTTCTATGCCTTAGAATCTTCATCTGTAAAATGGGGGATAATAGTACCTATCTCATAAGGGATTGTTTTGAGAACTGAATGAAATAATGCATATAAAGCACCATGCCAGGCATATAGTAAATGCTTATAAATATCAACTATTATTTAATTCTCCTACAGTGCTTCCTAGTTCTAGGCCCCAAAGTCTTTAAACATTTGTGGAACAAATGAAATTGACAAGTATGAGTTTATTTGATACATTTCCTTAACATGTTCATTTCCAGGTACTTACTGGGGTGGGGAGCAGGGGGACTGTGGCTACAACAGCCTCTCTTTACCCCCACACTTCCTGGTTCTGCCTTCCTTTTCTAAGACCCATTTCCTGGCCCCATCTCTGCCTCCTCTCCCAGGAAGGCTGGCCCCTACACAACTACCCTGTGTCACTTAAAGATTTCAAAGGGTAAAAAGAAAGTAGTCAGTTAAAGAGGTGTTTGCAGATGGGAGCACTTCCCTTGCCCATCCACCATATTTTGAAATTTCTCCTTTTTCTGTGTATCTAGAAGACTGCTGTGGAAAAAAAGAAAGGCCACCACATACAGGATGTTCTGAGAGTTCATTTGCATAAGGTATCACTAGACTCTATTCTCCTCGGGTAAGGGCAGCAGGTTTTTCAGGTCCGAAAGCTGTCCCACACCCCTCATCCTGAACTCCCTGCATTCCAGAGATATTAAGTCACAGAGGCTGGGGAGGGTACGTGGGAAAAAATATGCCTGGTCTAGTACCAAGGCACATGTTTCTGCCCTGTGTATCTCCACTCTAGCTCTAATTGGCCTGCTTGGCTTAGTGTGTGCCTTAAGTAGCTGACTCCCATGGCTTTTATGGGCCAAATTACAGTTCCACACTGCTTCTTATTTTAATAGAAGGGAATATTAACCAGTAGAGAGAAATTGTTGTTTGAATTCCAAAGAGACAGCGTGTTCTTCTGGAGGCCTAATAGATTCTTTCAAATTCACCTTAAATAACATAGTCAGAAGATAGGAGTGTGAGCGTTTTCAGACACCAACCTAACTAAGTCTCTCCATCAAAGATAAAATGAGGGAGTTGGATTGACAAAGAAAGTCTTCACTGCTCCAAAGCAAGTCACTTGACTCTCCTTCCCAATTAACGATTCAATCCTTTTGGCCCCCAAACAGTGGTTGAAGATGGGAAACCACACTAGACATGCCAGGAAATAGGACTATTCTGGCTAACAGCCCTGCTACTTGAAAGAGGGAGCTCTTCCACCATAATCTCCTGACACTGGATAAGAGGAAGGGATAAGGCTAAAGATAAACTCTTAACATGATCTCACGAGTAAAACTGGATGGGGACAAGAAACTTTAGGGTCAGATCCTTCACAATTTCTCAAAACATTGCGGCAGCAACAATTAGTACATACTGCTAGGAATTCTCTACTTTCCTCATCTGTAAGGGGTGAGCATTAGGTAAATGCTGGGATACTAGGTCCCAACAGGCAGTGGCCATACTAACCTCAATTCCTTGGTTAACTTAGAGGCATCTGAGCTGACATCCCCATCAAAATACCCACGGATATGAGATTCATGAGAAAGGGAGATATGCATTCATTCATTGGGAGTGTGGGAATGAGCAGAAGATTGATAAACATTCCCTTATTAGAAAATAAAGCCCGGTGGTCAAAAACCAGTACCAATGATGAGTTAATGTGATCTGGTTTCCCTTCTCTGTCTTCACTCTACCTTGGAGTATTAGCTGCCCCGCAAACCCCAAACAGCAGGAAGGTAATAGCCCAACTATTATTACCTTTTCTCTCCCCTAGGGGGGAAAAAAAAAACAAGCCAGCAAAATACTCGGAAGAGTAGGAGACACAAAGCAATCTTCATTTCTTCCATACATTAGAAACATTTTCAATTACAGCTCCGCTTCTCTGAAATCTATCTCAAGTAGTAAACTACCATGAGCACAGAAAAACCAGTTTGGAGGGAATTCCTGATAACGAGGCAGGAAGTGAGAGATTTTACTCAACCACTCCATTCCACAAGCTGGATGCCCCTGCAGGTCCCTGAGAAAGAGTCATTCTGGTTTATGCCCTGAAGGAATCCTACTCCACACTCCCTCCTGGGAGTGTGCCTAGGAAGGGTTGCTTGAAAAGAGAGGTCTTTGATTACTATGATCACTACTAAAATTCTAATGCTAAGCTAACTTGTTTGGGGAGCAGCTCTTTTAATAGTGGGGGTTTTCTTCTTAAAACAGAGTTTCTCAGTGGAATTAAAAAAATAAAACCCAGCCATGCTTACAGTTATAATTCCACATTAATCAGACAGTTTCCTGGGAGGTACCCATAATCAACAAATTGTCACATCTCTGATCAGTCAGTATATATTCTGGTGGAATTCTGGGCATTCATCCCAGCCCTAGGAAAGCTCAGTAATGCCCTGGAGCAAAAGAGCAGAGTAACAAGATCACACCAAGAGAGAGCTTAAGGTGCTTGGAGGTAAATTATCCCCTTGGGCAGCCAAAGAGCTGTCCTGGGTGGGAGGGGAGCGGTTCACAGTATCTCTGAACCTTCTTGGTAAGCGAACCTTCTTAGCTACCCTGGGTTTCCAAACATAGCAGTCAGTCTTAAAGAAATAAAACCTATTTGGGAGTTGCTCTTTCTTCTTAGAGGCTTACCAGAAATTTCAAGAAAATGTCCCGGTGGGTACTCACCTATGAGCTTCATCCTCTCCTTCAATTTCAAAGTTGTCTTGGCCACCCCCAGCCTATCCCGAAGGACCCAGAAGATAGAATCTCAGACAATGCTTTGCCTTGCTTGGGCATCACAGGGTAGCTCCGAGTTCTCAATCCTGCCCCGAAGGTGCCGACGGCAGCAGACACAATGGAGGTAGTCCACTACGTTGTGGGTAAAGAGTGAGCGCAATGGGTGCAAGTATTGGAAGAAAAGGAGCATGAAGCCAATGGAAATCAGATAAGCAATGATGAGCTGCAAAGCAATCAAGGAATGACAGTAATCCAGCAACACTTTCACTCCAAAGAAGTTAAAAACCAAAACCATGACCACGTTCTCTACGAACCTCACACTATAGTGCAGGCCCATATGCCCCCAGTTCTGGCCTTTGTCAACAAGGTCCCTGTCTGCCAATTTCAGCTGCAAAGCTGACCAGCAAGAGAAGTTGATGCCCGCATAGAGAACAGTGATGGAGATCAGCACCACCAGGGTGCCAACCCGGCTGAAATTTTTCTCAATATTATTGGGCATCTGGGCACCACTCCTCCAGAACTTAACCCAGGGCTCAAAGAGGATGATCAGGAAGTTAAGCAGTAAAAATGGCACAGCTTTCAGTTTCAAGGTAGCTGAGAAGAGCACCAGAATCATGAGGCGGGAAGTGATCTCCAATGTCCGCCAAATGGTGATGCAGAGGACTTCTAATGGCCCGAGGCGAATCTTGTATTCATCATACTTGATCTGGATAGCCAACATATTGCAGAGGGTAGCCCCATAGGTGACAGAGATCAGGGAAAAAACCATTAGCACAACTGTAAGAAAAAATATAACAGAAAAAAATAGACAATCAGACTATGTTAACAAAGCCTGAACTCAGACCCGGAGGTCCAGAGAGATGATTAAGTGAGGCTTGAGGGCCCAGTTAAGAACAAATTCACGTATGAACATAGCTATGTTGGCACAGCACACAGCATGCACAGGAAAAAAAATGGAAAGAAATAACCTAAAATATATTTTTTGTGATAAGGACTATATCAGTTTAAAATCTTTTTTTCTATATTTCTCTATTTTCTAAGTTTCCTACAAGGAACATACGTTGTAATACTTCAATAATCATATAAACACACAAAATGAACTTTTTAAGAAGAGTGGACCTCAGAACTAGCACTGAGAGGTCACTAACACAAGAAGAGCACATATAAAGGGATAGGGCAGCACCCACTGCATGAAATAGGCTTCTGAGCAAACAATGAAGGAGGCAGAAGGAATTCTGAAAAAATCCAGTCCTAGGAAATTCATAGGTAATGCCTTTGGTTACAGAAGCCTCTTCTTTGACTTGTATCTTCTTTAAGGAACAAATCTTGTATGTACTTCTAGAATGTGTCAGAATGTATACTGGAAATTCCATGAAGGCAAAAAGGACCATGTCTATTTTGTTCCATACTGTATCCCTGGAGCCTAACACACTGCCTGAGGTATAGTAGGTGCTCAATAAATGTTTGTGGCATTAATGAGGCACTCTGAGTTTAGAGAGACAGCATGAAATATTTATGATTAGAAGCCCTTGATTCAGTTCTGTGAAAGTCACTGAATATCTACGTGCCTTGATTCCCCAATTCACTGAGATACTCTAGAATTGCTTACATAAATCACTAACAATATAAATTTATCACCCAGGTGCTTTGCTATATTTTAGGAATCTCCAAACTTCAACCAGAATGATTTACAATTTTTTAAAAACCCCACCTCATAGCCCATAACATCCACGCCACTGTATAGAGTTAGGGGACTGAAGGGTCAGGCTGCTCCATAATCAGTTATGCTAAATCTCAACTATAGAGCGCATGGTGTCACTTTTCTTTTATCCTTTTATATCAAAGGATACCAATCACTAAGAAAAATCTACCATGCTCAAGAAGAGTGAGAGGCCTGAGGGGGTAACTCATCCCAAAAAAAAAAAAAAAAAAAAAGGCTGGAACTTTCAGTTCCCCTAAAAATATTAGATCCCAGGGAACTGGAGCCACAGAGATGTCAACTTAATTTGCAAGAAAAGTGAAGACTTGCCCCATGGAAACCCAAAAAGAAGCACAAGTTTGTTTCCAAGATCTTTTTCAGCTCTAAGTGGAGTGCTGGAATCTCAAAGACTAGAGAGACTCTCTTGAAGTGTCTACACTTGGCCTTATTTTTATTTATTATTTTTCCATGTTTGTTGAAATATAATTGACATATAATATTGTATTAGTTTAAGGTGTACAACAAAATAATTTGATGTACTCTTAGCTTTATAAACCACTCTTAGTCCCATCCTTAAGAGTTGATGCTCCTAGTTAGGAGCATCAGAGTATATATACATCTAGACAAGTGTAGTGATGCTGTCCCTTAAATTAGAACTCATTTATTGATAGTAGTGAAATAAAGGAAAGCCTGATGTTTCCAATAAATGTAAAAACACCTTCCATCTGTCCCCCTACAAATAGACCGATGCCATAAGAGATCATAATGCTGTTAGTGAATTTGCTCATCTATGCTGATCCAGATGGCCTCCAAGACAAAAAGAGATTAGAAAAAGGGGTAGCAAGGAGAAAGCAGAAGAATGGATGAAAATGAGGAAACCTAACCCCAAAAAACTGTTTACCAAACTTTAAGAGATGGTACCGGCAGAAAGTTTCTAATAGGAAAAATCACCAAAGAGTTGAAAACAAGGTCTCGAAGAATGTTTCCCTTACATCCTTTGTATAGTGATATAGTTAGAAACATGGCTCTGCAGGTAGGCATCCTGGATTCCAATCCCATCCTTGCCAATTATTACTTATGAAAGCATGGGGGAATTTGCTTAACCTCTCAGTGCCTCTGTTTCCTCATTTGTTAAAATGGGGGTAGTGGGCACCTGGGTGGCTCAGTTGGTTAAGCAACTGCCTTCAGCTCAGGTCATGATCCTGGAGTCCCAGGATTGAGTCCTGCATCAGGCTCCCTGCTCGGAAGGGAGTCTGCTTCTCCTGCTGACCTCTCTCCTCTCATGCTCTCGCTCTCTCATTCTCTCTCTCTCAAATAAATAAATAAAATCTTTTTTAAAATGGGGGTAAGAATTATATCACAGGGTTTTTGTAAAGACTAAATGAAGTAATTACAAATAAGAGGCTTAGAGAAACATTCAGGACACAGTAGATGCTATCTGCTAGCTCCTATCATCATCATCATCACTTACCGTTTCCAAAAGAGTAGTACACACATTCCCCCTACTTAGGTACTATGCTGACACTTAGGAAATCAGGTGATTTAAAAACTAATACCTAGGGGTGCCTGGGTGGCTCAGTGGGTTAAGCCTCTGCCTTTGGCTCAGGTCATGATCTCAGGGTCCTGGGATCAAGTGAATCCTATGTCAGACTCCCAGTTCAGCTGGGAGTCTGCTTCCCTCTCTCCCTCTGCCTGCCTCTCTGCCTACTTGTGATCTCTCTGTCAAATTAAAAAAAAAAACTAATACCTAGAAATGTGCAAAACCAATAGCAAGAAAACTATAAACTTTATCAAAGTACATTTCATTAAATATTTTTCAATGTACTTCGGTAAAGTTCTATGGTTTTCCTGCTCCGGGCTTTGCATATTTATGGCATAGATTGTAGGGATATTTTCTGGATGTATACTTATTTCCAGACTCATCAAGTTGGATATGTTAAATAGGTAGAGGTTTTTGTTAATCATACCTCAATAAAGTGATGTAAAAATACTTAACGAAATGGAGACATACCTCTCTTCTAATATGAAACTGACTGATCCTGTAAATATGTGAATTCCCTCCAAAACAACCCAAATAATTTAATGCAATCCCAATACACAGTCTCAATGAAATTTCTTTTTCTTTTGTTGTTACTGTCCTGCTTTGTTTTGTGTTTTGGTAGGGGAATTGACAAACTGAATGTGGAAATTCATCTACTTGGAAGATTAGGTAAGTTACCTATCAGATAAGAATTGTGAAAGGCCTTCGTGAGAAGTGCACAAGATCTAAAGCAATAAAGAATTTAAATGATAAAAATTTAATATTTAAGAAAGCCAGGAGACCATTTAAAATGTGTGTATGTACACACATGCAAAACACGCAAATGTATACATACACACTTATCTACAGCAGAGGAAGGATTAATATCAGAATAAGAAAACAGCTCCTGCAAATTAATAAGAAAAAGACAACCCACTATAAATCAGCAATTTAAAGAACACAATAACCAAACATGAAAAGATGCTCATCTGGCTTCATAATTAAAAGCAAATTATTTATGTAATCAGTTATTTTATAATTATACAACTAAATGATATTTAGTTTAATATATAAAGAAAAAGCATATTCATACACTACAGGTAGGAATATAAATTCAAACAACCTTTTGGGAGGGCTATTTGGCAGTACTGATAAGATTCCAAACATGTATATCGTTCACCCAGCACTTCCATTGCTAAGAATTTATCCTATGAAGTCTCATTCTGGGACACAGATACTTAGAAAGATGTTCGCTGGAGTATAGTTTGTGATTAGAAAAAACTTTCTTGAATACAAACATCAGAAACAAACTTTAATCCTACCAACATAAGATCAGACAAATAACAAAGAATGATCCAGTTCACATAAGAAAAACATATATTATGTATTTCTCATTTATTATTATATATGTATGTATAAATAACCATTAAAGAAAGATATACTGGCAAAAGACATTGAACAGAATGTTTAATACAGCCCTTTTTGTCAAAAATACATATACGTATATAACTTATGTATATTTACATAGTAAAAAAAAGTCTGGAAGGATATATACTGAATGGTTAACAGAGATTACTTTTGAGAAGTAAAATTACATCTCCTGTTTGATATATGTTCTTTGTGGTTCTGATTCTTTACCATAACCCTGTCTGATTTTTATAATTAAAAAAATAAGGACCAAAAATAGTAACACATGGTCATAGCAAAAATTTTAAATCATATAAATTTCAAACCATACAGAAGGGTATAAAGTAAAAGGTAAAAGTCGACGACTTCTCATTTTCACTCCCCAGAGGTAAATGATTTCTGACATATCTTTCCAGAAATTTTCTATGCATATACGATTACTCGTGGGTCAACTGGTTTGTGTATGTATTACTTTTGTAAAGTATACATATTTTAATTAGATGATTTGATGACCTTCAAAATTCTCAGGAAGAAAATCATCATTTCCTTTTCTCTTCACACTACTGTCAATCCTAGGTACGTAAAAAGCGTGAAGACCAACAATTTCATGAACAATTCTTGGTGGAGGAAAGGAGAAAAGGAGACAAATGCCCTCCTTACATTCATTTGCACGATGGGGCTTTGGCAAGCAGGATCGCCATTTAACAAGAAGGAAATGGTTCAAAGTTGTACCCACAGCTCTACCAGCTCCAGCCTAACTAGATGAAGCTAATGTTGAGCTGTTAAAACTCATTAACAGTACTTTATCTTGACTTTGAAAACATGACTCACATTTCCTCCTCTCCTAGAGGTCTTACTCATCTAAGGATCCGTCTTTTACCAGAGGGAAATTAAGACTGTGACCTCTTAGATAACTTCCTCCAAAAATCACACAGAAGGTCAGAACTGGGACCAAGCCTCATTCTCATCTGTATTCGTTCCACACCTACATTTCTTTCTCTCCACCGGAGCTGGGAGAAGTAATTAAATCAGTGGTTCCCAAATGTGGCTGATCAGACTCAACTGGGGCATTTTTTAAAAGATTTTATTTCTTTATTTGACAGACAGAGATCACAAGTAGGCAGAGAGGCAGGCAGAGAGAGAGAGGGAGAAGCAGGCTCCCTGCGGAGCAGAGAGCCCGATGGGGGCTCCATTCCAGGACCCCGGGATCATGACCTAAGCGGAAGGCAGAAGCTTTAACCTACTGAACCACCCAGGTGCCCCCAGCTGGGGCATTTTTTAAAAAGTACAGATTCCTGGCCTCCCCACACTCAGATTGAGTCAGGTCTGAGTAGATGTAATTTTTTTAAAAAAGATTTTGTTTACTTATTTGACAGAGAGAGAGAGAGGGAGAGAGGGAACATAAGCAGGGGGAGTGGGAGAGGGAGATGCAGGCTTCCCCCTGAGCAGGGAGCCCGATGCGGGGCTCCATCCCAGGACCCTGGGATCATGACCTGAGCAGAAGGCAGACTGAGTGCCACGTCTGAGTGTTACTCTCAGTACCACTGAGAGTGAGTCTCATGATTCACGACTGAGCCACCCAGGTGTCCCATGAAGATGTAATTTTTTTAAGAAGGAGTTTTCACCCAGTAATATGTTTTCTCATGATCAGTAATATTTGGGAATCTCTTCTTAAAAGATGGCCATCCCTAAACCAAAACAAACAAACAAAAAACCCTCAGGATAATTTAAACACTCTGGGCTAGGGAAAGTGTCCTACTAACTGCTGGTATTACCAGCTGTTTCTGGGCCCAGAGAGGGCTTATCTCTGGCACTTTAAGGCTTAAATAGTTTACCCCCATTAAACAAATCTGGCAGGCCTAAGATGTCTGGCTTCCCAAGTTGTTTGACTATCTACCAGTGCTATCTAATACGGTAACCACTAAGCACACATGGCTACTGAACACTTGAAAAGTGGCTAGTATGACTGAGGAAGTAAATTTTTTATTTCATGTTTCATTTTAATATAAATAGCCCCTTGAAGCTGGTAGCCAGTGCACTGGACAGTTCAGGTCTGTATTTCTAAGACCCTTGATTTAAATGGAGCCCTCCCCTCTCCTGACCCTACTCACCTCTACCCAGGGGGACCTCTGCAGAGATCAGGGTCACATAAAGCTGATAGGTCAGCTGGGGCACTGAGCCCAGGAAGGCTTGGATCTGTGACATACGTTTGTAGGCATTGCGGTGCATAGCCAGGGTCCGGATGGAGTGGCCCACCTCCCATTCTATCAGCACTTCCTCGCCATTTATTAGCATCTTCTTTCGGGTGAGGCTGACATAGGGCTCCTCCTGCCCCTCTTTCTTCCACAGTGTGAGGTACTTAATCATGGCCTCCAAACATCTGCAGAAGTAAAGCATCACGGGTACTTAACTAAAACTGTCCTGGGAAGAAAGGTTGTAGTGGGGGGTGGGGGCGGGGTGGGGCGGATAATAATACAATTCAGGGAGTTTGTGCTGCTTTTTGCCATTCCTTAATTACCATTCTACTCATTCCTCATGAGTCAAAGAGTTGTCATTCCTTCCACAAGTTGAGTCTAAATCCTTTTTTGTTTGGCTGGTTATCTACTGACCTGAGCACACCATTTCAGTGTTTCTTTGAGAATTTAAGGAATTGCTTTGTCTCCTTAAGAATAGGCCTGTGGTAGAAAGGCACCTTGAACACAAAGATATGTAAATAATGTGCTGAGAGAAAATGATGAAGGTTCTTAAAGGCCCTGGTTTTCATAACACCTCAAGTTGCTAAGGTAAAGCATTTCTTTATGCTTTATGCAACGCATTCAGCTTCATACTTGGGGCTTTTGAGTTCAGCTTTTTTCAAGACAAGCCCACAACTATAATCGTCTTTCCAAAAAGTCTTGGAGGGGAGCTTGGAAAAAACCTCACATCTATACAGTAATGCCATTCAATCACCAAGGTACTTAAAGACTTGTCAACTCAGAACTGAATGTGCTACATACCCAGGGAACATCAAAAGATCTCTCTAAAGGTTATTTTTGGGGCCTCTTGATCTGTTTGGGGCCAAGAGCCTTTGAAACTTCCTTCTTTCTTTACAAAGAGGAAAACATCCTCTTAAGGATCGCAAGCCTACTACACTTGAAACAGTGATAAGACCTCATTTCTTGCTGTACCTCTCCCACATACATCAGAAGCCTGTAAACAGTTCAGATGTGGTGACTAGAAGAGAAGAAATCAGAACATTTTGTTTTGGAACACCTGAGTTACCACTTCCTCCACTACCCTTAAATGAATGGAAACTGTGGACTATTATAATAAGAAAGAAGAGTTGTGGTGAAAATGAAGCCATCTTTCCTGCCTGAGGGCATGGGTTGTATTCATCTTGGGTATTTGATAAATATTTTCTGCGTAAATGAAAGAGTAAGAAGGAAGAAAAGATTATAGGGTGAGAAACGATGGGAGGAGAGGATAATAATAATGGCAATGTAATTTAATGGAAAAATAGGCTAAAGACAAGCTCAGAGGTTTATGTGCTTTTTAGGCCTTTGGCTCCCAATAGGAAGGTTCAAACATGTGCTGGCTGCCATTCTCCACAGGATCCCTCGGAGACTAGGGTATAGGGGCCAGTCTGAAGCATGGAGTTTTCTCCCTAGAAAGTGGACATTTCAAACTCTAAAACCTGGGAGAGGAAAACGTGGGAGGAGGAGAGAACAGGGAAGAAAAAAAGCCAAGTGCGTTTCCAATAAAAGATTTTAGATTTTAACCCAGGCCCATCAGTGTTATTGCTGAAGAAAATACTGGGGGAGGTAGTGGCAGGAAGCATTCTGTTTATGCTTCTAAAGGCTATTTACTGATTTAAGTAAGGGTGTTCGCTTTGGTTATAAACCTCAGTAAATTAGAGTACATTTTCATTTTCAGAAGTAGTTTGCATTTCATATAAGGGAGCCAGATCCTCCAAACACCTTCATATGCCTAATAGCACTAATCAAGTTCCTACCTGCCCATAAAGTAATTTGCCTTGAACATAAGCATATCAAGGATATAATATATGGGCTTTTAATTATTTCTTCCCTGCTGTCAGGCTATTATAAATGCTTTCCAATCATTTCTAGTGGAAGCTAAATAACAAAAATGAAATACAGTACTCAATACTCCATATGGTGGGGCCAAATTAAAGATGGCTTGGGAAGCCACAAGGCAAAGGAGGGAAGTCTAAACTCTGGACTGGGGCAGTACCTGCTGAAATTTGCACTTTGAGTGCACTTGATCTGTTAACTCAGTATATCTCATTGGAAAAGGCTGATAAAAGAATGTTTTCCTTGTACCTCTGGTGACAGCTCTTAATTTGTGGGGTTTTCTCTTTTTTTAGAGAGAGAGCATGAGTGATAGCGTGTACATGCACAGGGTGGGGAGGGGGAGAGGGAAGGGAGAGAGAGAGAGAATCTTAAGCAGGCTCTACACCCAGCATGGAACCCCACGTGGGCGCAATCTCAGGACCCTGAGATCATGACCTAAGCCGAAATCCAGACCAACTAAGCCATCCAGGTGCCCCAACATCTCTAAATTTCTTGGTTCCAAGTTCAAGATGAGGTCTTTCTTTTACAGCTTAACTTCAAAGATTTAGAATTGGAAAGGAGCTATAGATTGCCTAGTACAAAGGTTACATATAGGCCAGCTGAGTCACATCTGACCAACAGCTGTGGTTTGTTTGGTCCATACTGTGTTATTTCGTCAGTCAAGCTGCCAAGATTCAAACTGATATTTCATATAAAATCCTGTCCTGGAAGGTTCTCTTGAAAAGTTAGGGCATGTGGCAGTATTGGGTCTGGATTCCAAGAGTGAAACGATAGGGATGGAATTACAGAGTAGCTGCCTCTTTTAGGCAAATCGTGTAGACTCCAGCTTGCCACACTATTCACTATTCTCCATTATTCCTCTAACACTAAGACTTCATTTTCATTTATCATCACACACGAAGCTGCTGGTTTTCTTGTACTTGGCCTGCTTCACTCATATATGAGACCTGCCTGGCCCGTTTAAGCGTTTGCATTTGAGACCCATGATCTAACCCAACCCATTTATCATGCAGATGAAGAAACTGGGGTCCAAGACATCTTCAGCGATTTCATCAGAGCCATGCAACTAGTCAATGACAGAGGGAGGACCAAACTCTAGGTCACTGGAATTTCAGGCTACTGTTTTCTCCAATGGAGCCTGACCAATCCCTCCTCGTTTGAGCATATATTGATTAAAAAAAATTTTTTTAAGGCAGAGGAGTTCCATCCTTGAACAGTTTCAGACTGCGTTTAGTTCTCTAAGGATGAAACATCTTCCCTCTGCAATTACAACATCAACACTCTGACACATATTCTTCAGCTGATTGCAATCAAGACAAACTTGGTCCATTCTTTCCTCCTGACTTCGTTAAGTTTTGCAACATCTCCCAAACTTGAAAATCCCATAGTATCCAGATGAGACAGCCGACACAGATGCCTGTCTCCCTAAGATAAGGCACGTTCTCATCCCTTCAAGGCAATCTGAATAGAAAGACTGGATACTACTACAATGAGTTACAGCATTCAGATGGAGAGATGACCTATCTTCCTTTGTCCCCTCTAACCATGTACCTTTATAGCAGAAAGATACAAAGAGATAAACAGGAGACTGATGAACCAACAGAAAAAAACAAACGACAATGGGTTGGGGTACTAGATGACCACAAAGAGCTGAAAATATTTTCCAGATGTCAAATAACTCTGGAAAATTTGAAAGAGTCATGACCACTAGCTCAAGCAGCTCAGGATAAAGAAATTGAATGTGAGATACAGTTTATACAGTGTCTAAAAGGCAGAGTTAAAATAACACACTCTGAAGCTATGGCCTGTGTGCACAGGTTAACCACATCAGCTGGTCCCATACCAATTTTCACAATTCAAATCCAAATAGCAAACACTGTCTGATGAAGTCTTACCAGTGGTACCATACATGGCTTTGGAACACAAGTACACACCACATGTTCACTGTGGTGGCACTTAAGGTTTCAGATAAGATTTTTTGGATGGTAGGCAGGGCAAGGAAGCCAAGAGTGGGAGGGAATGGGAGAACTGATTAGAGGCACAGTACCAGTCTTGTAAATATTGGCTTCATCTTTCTCTGCACAAACCCGGGGACGGGGTAGAAATTAAAAATTGCTCACCTGATAACAGGTCCCAAGAGGATTAGATGCATAAATAATGATAGCGGCTTGTCTTTGGCCAGATCTCTGTGAACAAAGATGAGGGTCAACTGGACCATAATGGATGAAAACATAAAGAAGGATAAAGTGTATGCCATCCAGTATGTTTCGCTATTCTTTCGATAGATTCTAACCATGTACAAGGTAGATGCAGCCTCCCCACAGTACAAAAAGGTGGAGAAGAGGATGCCAAATGGGAAGGTGAATCGCGGGTTGGCCCCACGGATGACATCTTCCTCCAGAGATGAAATTGGATCCACGTTGGACTCCTCAGGAATTTCATAAACTCGGTCCATTGTCGAGGTTCTGAGTGTTGCAGTCTGGTCTTCAGAGCAAGCCCCACCCCCGCTCAAGAGAACCCTGGAGCCACTGCAGTCCAAGTATCTAAGAGAGCGGTCAAGGACAATTCCAGAATGGAGATCTGCTAGTTAGACCAGAAGACCCCTCTCTCTAGTTTCATGTTACACTTGTTGGAGTATGGGATGGAGAACCCAGGAGTACCACTTCGAACTTGACTCTTCATTGGCCCAGGCTTCCAATTGTCAACAGACATGCTATGAAACCTGGACAGGACGAAAGCAAGCATTTTAGCGCCCAGTCCGGAGTCCAGTTCCAGGCACGTGAAAAACTTGGGGACAGCTGTCTCCTCCTTTCGCAGCCCCGCAGGGAGTCGGGGTAGCCACTCTGTCGGGGCACGAACACTCAGCAGCACCTCTCGAGGAGTTCTGACCACCAGTACGCCCTCTCAAACCTGCCGAGAACTGAACCAGGGCAGAAGAGGGGGTGCAGCCTGAGCGTCCCTTCGGGGGCTCATTTCAGTGCGTAGGCACCCTAAGCTATCCTTAGGCTGTGCCTATCAGCTCGCCCGCTCGCCGCTGCTCTCTCAGGACCCGCGCGGAGTCGAAGGCTCTCCAGCTGGCTCCACAGATTTCCCAAGCTCTGCCCCCAAGGCCGCCGGCCGGGGCAGGGGGGTGCCGAGGGAGGGGGGGCTGAAGGGGGGTGGTAGCGGCTGGAGCAGAGGGCTGGAGCAAAGGCACCACCTAGGTCGGGAGCGCAGCTTCAGGGGGAGAGAAGCCGAGCGCGCGCGCGCGCGCGTTGCAGGATCCGAAGAAAGCTAAAGCGGCTTCTTTTCCACAGAGAAACTTTGCTAGCGAGAAGCACGAAGTGCGGAGCGCCAGCCCAGGAGGGCAAAGGCAGATGTCGTCAGACTCTTGGACGCCGTCAACTGCTGGGGTCCTCCCTGGCCTGCAGTTCCAGCTGCGGGAAGTCGTGGCTTCGGGAACTGAGGCACTGAAGGCAGGGGCGGGCGGAATGGGAGGGACCTCTGGGGCCAAACAAAACTAGCCTGCGAGTGCCAGGGCCGGCAGCCTAAGGATGCTCCGGGTGGAGAGGCGCGACAGAAAAGGGGGCTTGGGCTAACCTTCGGAACCGCTTCTCACTACGACCCCCGGATCCCAGAGGGAGCCACAGCTTTCCTATTCCCCCAAAGCAGCAGACGCCCACTTCCACTCCGCCCTCGCGAACTAGCTAGCTCGCACACTTGCACAACCCACGCGGTTAGGCAGGTCTCTCTCTCTCTCTCTCTCTCTCTCTCTCTCTCTCTCTCTCTCTCT